CTGGCGCCGCCCCGCTTAGGCAAGGGCTAAGCAGGGGTCGGCGGATAATGTATAGACTCTTAAGATAAACATATATAGAGCCTGGAGGACGCTTTACAATGATCTTTTGTTTTTGTTCATCTTAAGAGTCTTGAGATTGGGAAGAGAACTTCCTGGCGGCCAGGGTCCGCAACACCGGTACACCAGTAAAGGAGAAACCCTTCAAGGCATGAGGACTCATGGCGTCGTGTGAGATCGAATGTCAGAGCTCAGAGCGTTTTGGATCTACCAGAAGCATCCTTTCTGAAAGAGATGAATGCCAGGCACGGGCACTGCCTGTAGCACTAAGCACCAGAAAAAACACGTGACATGAGCAAAAGTGATGGTGGATGTGCAATGTTGAATGGGGGGACTTCACATGCATACTCCGTTTTTACTCTCGATTTCATCGCATACGTGCTGAACCATCGCCATGTTCGGCTCGGAGGATCTGACGATTCCTATGAATAGTCCTTACGAGCAACGGGTCAATGAATGCTGCGGTTGTTTCTTCATTCACCACTATGACGACTATGACGACTATGACGTCTGAAATGTTTGGATTTGATGAAGTGCATTGGCAAGAGAACATATTAGGACATTCCTAGCACTTCCAACGGGTGCCCTGTCTGGAGACCTGTAAGTAGGGTGGGGTAGTCTAGCCAGGACACCCAGACAGGATGACCCTGGTTGGTTCAGCTTTGCCCAGTGGTATCATGGCAGCCCCATGATGTTCAACGTGACATGTCGACTTGCACGTGGCAGTGGGCGAAGGGCTCAGGGAGCATGCCCTTGGGTGTGTTTTTTGCCCAATGAGGGAGACCCAGTTCAAAAGCTCCTGGGTTTGGTTCGGGAAATAGACCAGTTGACCCAGCCAGGGTTGATGGGGTGTCTCCCTATTCAACTATGCACCCAAACACTCTTGGCTGGTTGATGGGGCTAGGTCTCCTTGGTCGTTGGTGGCTCGCCATGTTGGCATGACGATACTGCCAAAACATAAGGATGATAGGGCACTATAGTCTATTAGTGGTCCCCAAATAGATAGAAAAGTAGATCCCGTGCACTCAAAATGTATACCGTTTCTATATATGTTGGGGACCACTATATACAGTAATGTGGCAACCAGGATCAACCAGAAGAGACTTCGATTCCAACTCACATTTTTTCGTTTGTGGCTGTTTTTTTTTGAGGGAAGGCTGCTGGTGCATGGTGGACAGCCGTCCGTGCCGTCTTCCGTTGGTGGGCTGGTCTTCAGACATCGGACTTGAAGACCGTCCGATGTCTTCAGGTCTGGGTCTGGGTTTGCAGACGCTCGGACGTCCCACATACTGTATTTCTTCGGGCGCAAATAGCCACGAGGAAGACAGAGCTCACTGGCTCCGACCGATGGAGCTGGAGCTGGGATCGGATGCCATCATATCACTGACATGGTGAATCCAGAATCCAGGATCGATTCTGGAACCAGGATATTGCTCAGAGATCCAAGATCAAAGACGATATATAGTTAGTCAAATATAGGATCATGGGATTCGATATCACTCGTATCACAATCGATTCTACCACCACTGGGATTTTGTAGAGTTATATATTGTGACTCAACGTTTTCACCTGACCCTCTATAGCTTGAACAACATGATCAGGGTGCCCTTTTTGCGACCCTGTTTCGGAGTAGATGGAGTGGACGGGGCCGCAGGCAGTCACATGTGCTTTGGGCGGCCGATGGCCTGATGTTCAGCACATGGCGGGGTTGCCTGGGTGAAGGTGTGCTCAGTGAACATGGACTTTTTCGCGTCACGAGTCAATCCATTTGGCGGTGGCTGTTACGGCTGAAGATGAAGGACCCAGTGGCTAAAATGCCGATGGCCTTTTGTATGGTCTCTTTGGAACCTGTTCTTTCCTTTTTTGCAGACGCTTATAGACGAGGTAATGACTGCCACTGGGAACAGAGTTGATTCCAACCTTTCCGCCACCTAGTAGAACCATTCCATTCATCCTCAATTTGTCAGTGTGATCTCTGAGAATCACACCTCTTTTGAGCTTGACATTCTTCTTTTGACACCGTGAGGTATTGAATACCCGGCTCACCACAAGAATAATTGCTTCCACTGGCTGGAATCGATTCACGGGAAGTGACTGCAGGTGACGGACCTAGATTTGGGGTTGGAAAGATCTTCTTGACGACCACTGAACTCAGCGAGAGGAACTGTCAATCCTGACAGGTTTTTATGGCAAACAACCGGTCAGTGCACGGTGGACTCGCTACTGATTGGTGCCATTTGCTTGGGACCTCCACCTGCACTCTTTACTGCTGAACCAATTTGCACTTCTGAAAGTCTTGCAGTCGCAAGCAGGTCATAGGGACTGAGAAGACGGAGCAACTCCGATTTTTCGGGTGTTTCGACCAAACGCATTGCTCGACAGGCCGGCCGCACCGCATTGCTCGACGCCGCAGCTATTTTGGTTTTACATTCAGAGACGTGACCGTGCCCGCGACCTGAAAATCAGTGGCTTGTCCGCGGAAAAGGGAGATTGGCCGGAATTTGATTGGCCGAATACTCTGAACGATGATGCGAAGGAAGAAAGGATGTATATGTTCCTGTATATAGGGGTCTCTAGGGTTTGTTGCTGACATTCCGGAGATTAGTTTTGCCTGCCCTTGATACAGCCTGATGAGTAGCCGGATGAACATGATGAACACAACTGGGCAGAAAAGCTGCTCGCCAGAGACCTTCGATGGTACAGGTTCCAATCGATGGTACAGGTACCTGCCATCCGCTGGCTCGTCTGTGGCAAAGAATTCGGACCGAAATGCATTGGTTCGGAGTGTGAATCTAGTGCAGTCTTGTTGAATCGTGGCCGGAGCCGTCGAAGGACAGGACGATCGTTCGTCACTCCGCCCAACTCCAGAAGGTTTCTCCCACACAACTCCGGTTCGACCAACTGAAGGACGTCTAAAAATCCAACAATATATATTCATCCAATCATATCCAATCCAAAGAAGCTTCCCAACTGGGGAACGTCATTATTTGTCCAAAGAATACAACTACCCCCACGATTTTCCTCCTTTTCCTATTGAAACCTCGTCACCCCGTCTCACCTCGTCCTGAGAAATGGCCTCGTATCGGCGATCGTCTTACCTCGCCGATCGCATCTCCCCCATTTCAGCAACCATGGACCGGATCATGTTTCTATCTTCCCAAGGAGGATGGGTGCCAACCAGTCTACCGTGAAGGTCAAGGACGGCTGGGCAGAAAGAATCCGACTGGGCTTCCCAGGAACCACCAATCGGCCTCGGTCGATGGTGTTTCTTCTTTTTGTCAAGGTTAGCATTCTGTGCACTTAGATGCAGTGAAATACATGTGATCGGGACAAGAATCCTGCAGCATCCTGAGGCTTCTTTTTTGCCACTGACAGTGGTTCATGGTGGAATGATGTTGATCACGAACACAACAACTGATACTTAACACAGTCCATCCTTCGGAGTACGGACGTGGGAAGTTCCAGGTATGATAGCGTAATATCAAAACCTCGTTGCTAATATATATATATATATATATATGTCTCAAAACCAAACCCACCCACCACACACGACTATATATATATATATTGCCTCGTGCTCGTGAACCCCTGGCGTTTCTCGTTGCTCGTTTGCCGGGCGGGACTTCTCGTTTCTTCGGTGTGATCCAGGAGGGCGAGACCGCCATCACCTATACCTACACGGATGAGGCGCGGAACCGACGGTGTCCCGCAGAATGCGGGGTGGACAAGAAATAATGGCCTGTATATTAGAATCCGCTTTAACTCATTAATAACATTTAACATCATTTAACCCGTTTTGACTACCAGCTCACAAATAGTTATGGTTTGTTCCTATCTACAAGTAGGTACCAGATGAGTTGTATTTGGATGTACGTATTTGGGTAGTATAGCTGTTTGTTGTTTTGCTGTATGGAGATCCTGAAGATGTCCAGTTGCTAAATCACATCGTAAATCGTGCGCGAAGACTACTGTCATTTGTCCCATATTGGTTATTGCTCAATGGGACGCCGTGCTTGTGAAACATCAACGAACGGTTCCAGTCCTTTGCCCATGTTCAGTCCCTTAAGGTTTTTATAGTCACATATTTCAACATCTCCATTGTTGTTTATAGTACATCAAAGCGGTTTCTTTCGCTTCTAAAGTATGTTTGCACTTTCATGGAACATCTAAACAAAAAGAAACAACACAGTGCTATACAAGTGGTGCTGGGTGCCCTGAGCGCTATACATACTCTCTCTACTGTATTTGATAGTTCCTGGCCTTCTATTCCGACTTATTTGACTTGTTCGATTCTATACCGTTGTGACAAGTTCACTGCCTTGTCCACTCACCTGGTCAGCGACCCAAGAAGCACCACCCCACGAGACGGTGGTCCCGCGACAGAGATCGGACGGTGGATGTTGGCTCGGATTCTGTTTGGATCCACGGCTTCCATATGTGGTCAGGTTTGGGAACCGTCTACTTCCCCTTCTGACCAGACACGCTGGGTAACACAGCAAAGTTGATCAACATGTTTCTCCCCTGGTGACTGGATGAATCCAAACAACATTGAACAACAAGAAGAGCACACCATGAAGCAACAAGAGTTGCAAGCCGGGCTTTCTGATGGGTTTAGGACTTTCCATCGTCCACCGTGCCAAGAAGGCTCGGATTTGTTGGTTCGAAACCGGTTCCATTGCTGCGCCTGACAGGCGCCGATGCTCGCCACCCATGCCTTCTATCCCATCATCCAGGCAGCCGAACAAAGCCGGAGAGTAGAGACCAAATCAGAATTGGAGTACATGATAGTACACACTGGAGTCCTGAGAAGAGTCGAAATCAGAATCTGTGTTTTTTGTTTTCAATTTGTATTTAGAACTCTCTTTATCACGAAAGGTAGCTTGAGCTACCTGAGTTCTCCTTGCTTTAGCAAAAATGTATTACAATCAGGAGTTGGGATTGTGCATTGAATTTGGTTCTGTAAGAGTTGATTCTGTTCGTCGGGGGGGGGGGGCCCCCCCTGGATCAAATCCCCCCTGCGCCGGTTCACGCCGTCATGGACTTCTACCAGGGTTACTTGTGATTGCCTGCTACCTTTCGTTCACCCCCTCCTCTCTCAAGTGATAGGTATCGTTGCTGTGCAAGATAATGATCAAGGAGAATCTAGAACATACCCTCCCGAAGATTGGCGGTCCTCGGATCGTTTTTGTCTTTCAAAACTGTTCAACTGGCGTTAGATCAGAACACCACTCTCAAACATAGGCCTCATCTAAGTGGCGTACAGAGGAAGTTGATGTTCTAAGCGACGAGTGGATTCACCCTGTTGCATATAGGGTGATTAGAGGCTTGGCCAGCCCTTTTTGATGTTTGTTGGTTTTCAAATTTGACAGATCAGTCTATAGTATAGGTGAGAGCATTCCTTTTGCCACCGAGATTGGGTCAAAAGGGCACGTTTGGGCTCATCCGGATCATGGGTATCTCCCATGGTAAGCCCTACGTATGATTGTCCATGCTGGTAACAATCTGACTTTTTCAGGTAGAAGTGGATCTTCCTCTTGTTACAAACATCTCGTTTCCACTGTTCACTCACCAGATAGCCAGGTCAGAGTTGTTGTGGGGCGCTCTAGGGACAAGGGTCACCTGTAGAGGAAGGTAGTTTTGAGGCGTCCACTTATGGATGATTGTTTTCTGCTCAGATGAGTGTTTTTTGAGGCGTTTACTTCGAACTCGTCCTTCAGTATAGGAGTGGCATCCACTCATGAACTCATGAAAAAACCTGTTGTCCTCAAAAACACCCATTTCGTCCAGTCCCACAGGCAGCCAAGCAGAGAACACCGAAAAACAGCAGGCCTTTTGCTCGCAAGCGAAGATCCCTGTGCAGCTGCGGGACATCTCGGTGGCGGGGCGTTTGCTCTCGTACCCCGGCGGAAAGGGCTCGGACCCCCGAGGACCGACGCACCGACGGAACACGGCGAACAGACACCTGTGACACACCCTGTGCGCTGAAAGCAGTCGGGGGATGGGACAAAGGAGTCGGACGTCGCCCGAGCGGAAGCGGATGCGCAGCGAACAACGCGAAAAGCGCACGAGAGACCCAGGGAGAATGTTACAAGGAAACAGCATGAAAGCGATGAAAGAGATCAACAGATCTTTTCAGATGTGGCTGAGGGTAACGCATAATATAGCAGAATACGATATAATATGCATAGACTTGCATAGAAATTAATATATGCATCATATCATAGTCCATGATTGTTTCGTTGTGTTCTACTTTTCATAGGACACCCCGGTGTCGGGACACCCCCGATGTCGGCCCACCGGGTTGCCAAGGCACTTCCCCGACTACTTAACCGACGAACAGAAGAAGCAACCGCTCACTGAGGCAGTGAGTTTTCATGGCGGATGGACTGACGTGACGGGGCTTGGGTGGTCGTACTCCCAGGGCGACACAACAAATATACAAATATATATTGGCTTAAGCTTATTGAGCACACAAAGATATATGTATATATATATATATGAGATATAAGATAGTTATAATATATGTTCTAAACACTGAAAAGAACACTCGGGGTTTTGTTTGGCCACATTGCGAAGACCACTGAGACCACCTCACCTTTGTGTTTTCTCTTGCTGACAACGCTCAGGGGCTGCCCGGGCAAGAGACCGATCAGCTAGCGGCCTTGGGCGAGATGGCCAAGGGCGGAAAGGCCAAGTGGGGAG